GGGCAGGGCGGGGATGGGGGGAGGCTCAGAAGCCGGCCCACAGGTTGCCCGGCGATCCTTCCATCCGGACGAGACCAGACCCATCACCACCGCCCGTGATGAAGCCCGCCAGTGCCAGGGCCCAGGCGAGCTGCGGCCCGGCGCGATCGCCGCCCGACCCGTCCGCCGCCGACGCCCCGCGCAGCGGGGCGCCCCTGCTACCCCCAAGCCCCCCGCGCCGCCGCCCGGGGGCGGACGCACCTGCATAGTCGACGTCGCGGTCGCAGCTCAGGACCTTCTCGGCGATGGCGGCCTTCTCCTGGATCGTGAGCACCGCGCTCTCCACGCTGCCGCAGGGCAGGGGCAGCCGGTCCTGGCCAAAGTAAGCCACGTTGGCTGGCAGCGCCGCGCGGCGCACAAAGCCGTGGAAGTGGCAGAGGGCGACGCCCTGGGGGCCGGGCGGGGAGGGGCGCGCCGGAGGGTTTCGGCCGGCGGCGGCGGCGGGGCGCGGGAGACAAAAGCCAGCTGGCATGCGCTGCCAGCGGGCCAAGCCTTGACCGCGCGCGCGTTGTTGCTGCGGGCGGCTTGGAGACCCCGCACGCGTTCACGCATGCGTCCCCACGCCGCGGCTCGGCGCGCCCGCGGGCGTTCGCAAGCCGCCGCGTCTGCAACAGCCGAGCCGCGAACCAGCCGCCCCACCTGGTTCTCCACCATGTCCACGTAGCGCCGCGACCGCCCCGCCGCCTTGAACCGCCGCGCGAGCGCCACGTTGGCCGCCGCCTGCGACAGGATCAGCCAGCTGTCGAACGACGGCGAGGTGATGTCACCCAGCGACCGCGACACCTCCAGCATGAGGCTGTCCGGGTCAAAGCTGAGCAGGATCCAGTCGTCGTTGGGGTGCGGGGACGTCTTGTCGCAGCCGGAGCGGGTCACGAGGACGGTGCACTTGGTGCACTTCTCGACGGGGCCGGTGGGCAGCTGGTAGGCCAGGAAGCCGTACGACATGCCCGTGCGGCCGTCGAGGAATTGGGCCACGATGATGGGGGCGATGTCGACGACGCAGCTGGGCATCAGCTGCTCGATGCTCATCTTCACCGGCAGCAGCGGTGCGAGCAGCGGCATGCACTGCAGGATCCGCGCCTGCGCGGCCTGGACGGCGCACTTCTCGCTGGGCTCCCAGTCGTCGCGGAAGTTCACAGTGAAGTCCTTGGTGCGGGGGACGCGGCCCTTGACCATGACCTTGGTCTGGATGTGGCGCGCCACCTGGGGGTCCTCCTCCAGCTCAGACCAGGTGTACAGCCGGCTGCAGCCCTAGGG